CATAGTGCGATATGAAGCGGTATATAAATGAAGCTGCTTTGCTTTGTTAGCTAGGCACGCATTTGACCCTCCTGCACCAAAGGGGAAGGAGGGCCAAACCAGAGGTGTCACCCATCCTTCGGGGTGTCGCCCAGTGTGGTCCACGTACCCCGCGCGTCTCAATGATGCCATTGCTACAGACTGGACAGACACACTGTTGTGTGATGAGGTATGGCCACAGATGCTGCTCTAATTCCATCTTTTCCAGCCTTGTGTGATCAAGTCCCAAGATATTTTGCTGCCTGAAGTGAGGAGTAAAATGGCACCCACTCCTATTCTTGTATACAAAAGTCAACAGGACTGGCAGATGAATCATCACCACTTGCATGGGGCAGTTTCCTCTACCTCACCTGAGGACAACAGACTAGCTTAGGCTGTGGGGCACTCAGTTCTCTCCTCCAAGACTTTGCTGCTGTCTCCCAGCATTGACTGTCTGAAGTGAGCACTTCACTTGGCCTCATGGCAGGAGCAGCCCTGGGTAAGATCAGAGATGGCTAGGGAGCAACAATGGGAAGATGCTGTTGTCCTCCTGCCCTGCCTTTGGGCTTCCCAGTGGCATCTGGTTTGCTACTTTGGGAAATGAGATGTTTGCCTGGAGCCTCTTGGGACAAGTGACATTTCACAGTTCTCATGAGCCCCATCCACAGTGGTGGATGGTACCAAAGACAAAAGGGCAGGACCAAAAAAGTACCGCTAAACACTCTTATAACAGCTTTAGGGTGCATCTACATTGTAGAAATGAGGCAGTCCAACACCACTTGAACTGCCATAGCTACAGAACCCTGGCATTTGTGCTTTGGTGATACACCACCACTCTTTGGCACTTAAAAGGCCTTGTGAAATGACAAATCCTTGGGTCCCATAGGATGGTGCTACAGCACTTCAAGTGGTGTCAAACCGCATTATTTCTACCATGTAGATGCACCCTACAGAGAGGCCTTTGAACCTTTTAGCACGGGAAGAGATCCTGTGCAAGAGGTGATGGGAAAGTGCGAGGGAATGTAAGAAGGCCAGATTTGGCCCCACAGCCTAAGGTCCCCCACTCCTGCCTTAGTTGTCGCACTGTACGCTTTAAAATGTGGTGAGAAAATTGCCGCCCGTGGCCCACAATTTGCCCTAGGGATGCTTGTGTAGGGTCCCCAGGGCCACATTCTTTTTTAAAAAATAGCATTCGTTGCCCCCCACAAACACTTGACACTTGCCCACTTTTGAAGAAAGGCATTACTGACCCAAGTTTAAGAACGTTGAGGTCTGGCTCCATAGGCGGAACATTTGTGGAATGAGCCTGAATCAAAATATTCCCCCTTGCTTTCTTGCTTTCCCCCTTCCCACTGTCAATCACAACCTCCGCTGGTGTGTTTTTGCTTTTTAAAAAATTTGGAGAGTGCCATGAAAAAGCCCCAGGCGCTGCCAGTCTCGCTTCCGATAGGCAAGATGCAGCACATTCTAGCATGCGCCGGTCTCCGGGTGGAAAATTAAATGTCTTTTCCCAAGAGGCTGCTGGGACATCAGCTCAAGGATAGAGGCAGCTTTCCAAAATTTGATTGCATCAGTCAGAAAGTTAAGAACATGAGGAGGAGGAGGAGAAGGGAACAAGAGAGAGAGAGAGAGATCTTCCCTCAGGGTGGAGTGAAAATGGAGAGACCCAGGTCTTGTTCAAACAGAGTGTGCAGCTTTCTTCATGGGAGACAGGCAGGGAGATTGCAGCTTGCCAGAACCAGCATCCTTGAGGGAAACTGGTCCAGGCAGAGGACTGGTAGGTGAGTCTAGGTAACCCAATACACCTCCATCGGCAGCCAGCACCAAGCACCCCACTGGCCAAAGGCATCCTTTCAAGGGAAGGCACAGAGGACAGGCAAAGGATCCTAGAAGCCTGGAATCCTAGAGTTGGAAGAGACCCCAGGGAGATCCAGTCCAAGCCCCAGCTTGCCATGAAGGGAGACACAAAGCACTCCCAACAGATGGCCATTTGGCTTCTGTTTAGAAGTCTCCAAAGAAGGAGACCACCACCTTCCGAGGCAGCATCTTCCACTGTCAAACAGCAGGAAGTTCTTCCTAATGTTTAGGTGGAATCTCTTTTCCTATATTTTGAATCCATTGCTCCGTGTCCTAGTCTCTGGAGCAGCAGAAAACAAGCTTGCTCCATTGTCGAGGTGACAGCTCTTCAAATATTTACATGGCTATCATCGAATCATAGCATTGATTGGAAGAGACCCCAAGGGCCATCCAGTCCAACCCCATTCTGCCATGCAGGAACTCTCAGTCAAAGCACCCCCGACAGATGACCATCCAGCCTCTGTTTAAAGAGCTTCTCCACATCCCCTTCCCGGTGTCAAGACGTCAATAAGAATTCTTGGGTGATGTTTTTCCTCTCAGAAGCACAAGAACATAGGAAGCTGACATTAGAAAGATCCCAACAGCGTTCTAGCCAAAGAACCCTAAGAAGGGCAAGAAGGGAGAATGACATTTCCCATCCACAGTTAGTAGCAGATGAGGAGCTCAGTGAGCATCATCTCCTCTTGCACACTATGATGGGATGTTTTGTATTTCCATTTAAATAAATAGATATAAATGAATAAGATAAATCTATAAAAGAACATGTGGATACTGGATGCAAATAGCATCCAAATGGCTTTCAGCCTTTTGGGAGGATGTCTATGTGCTACCCCTAGCAGATCCCACTGCCATCCTCTTTAAGCAGTGATCTCTTCTTCTTCTTCTCCTTCCTCCTGTCTAACTAACCATTTGTAAGCTGCTCTGATAGCCTTTTGGCTGAAGAGCGGGGTATAAATACATCATCATCATCATCATCATCATCATCTCCTTTGGCTTTGCCAACAGGCATAGTAAAACAGAGGAGCCAGCATGGCGTAACAGGTTGAGCATTGGACTTTGACTCTGGAGACCAGGGTTCGAATCCCGGCTTGGCCATGAAAACCACTGGGTGACCTTGGGCAAGTCACACTCTCACAGCCTCAGAGGGAGGCAATGCCAAACCTCCTGGGAAGAAACCTGGCTACGAAAACCCTTTGATAGCCTCGCCTCAGGGTCACCATAATGTGGAAACAACCTGAAGGCACACACCAACAATATAGTAAAACAGGCTAACCTCAACTGTGAAATAAACTCTTCCAATTGCCACCTTGTACTGTTTGTGTTACAAGCAGAGAAAGGCAATGTTTTCTTCCCCCACTTAACCCCTATACTAAGGGAAGCTGCAGAACCAGAGCTGAAAATGTCAGGAAACCCAAGCCCATTCCTTGGAGAAACACCTTATAATCCTACCGTGCTGTTGGCAAGAGAGACTTCAAAATAATCCGGAAGACATTGCTCTTCAACACAGCGGTTTGGAAATCTGGCCACTTTTCTCCTTTCTATCACTGTAGCGTTTTCCCGGGGCCAGATTAATGATGCTAGTAATGCAAGAATGTGGGATTACTGAACGTATAGCAGGAAACAATTTCAAGAGCAAATGAGGCTTCAGAATTCGGGGGGGGGGGGGGGGGGAATGGCCTTTCTAGGCAACCAAAGGCCATCTCTCATTTTTACGGCACCTAATTTACACCCGTTTTGGTTTTCCACATTCATTTCACATTCAAGATGGAGAAAAATGCACAGTTATTTCCTTTCTTCTCTGAGCAGTCATGACTCCTGCTGTTTCCCCGCTGTTCATTCTTGTAATCTTTTTGCAGACCTGCTGACATTACCTAGGAGGAATCAAAATAAGCCACAAAATAGGCTATTTTCCGAGGGCAAGCTTTTTTTGAGGGTCATTCCGGTGTCAGGTAGGATTGTTCTCTGTTCTGCCTTACTCCAAGTCAGACTAACATTGGCCCAACCACCCGTAAATGGATATCTTTCTTTGGGAATCACAGAACTGAGGCTTGGGCTCAAAGAGAAATGGCTCGATTAGACTTTTTGAACCCAGTACCATCTTCTTTGGTATTGTTGTTGTGTGCCTTTGAGTCATTTCCAACTTACAGTGACCCTATCATGGGGTTTTCTTGGCAAGATTTGTTCAGAGGCTGTCTACCATTGCCATTCCTTGAGGCCAAGAGCATGCAACTTGTCCAAGGTCACCCAGTGGGTTTACAAAGCTGAGCTGGGATTCGAACCTTGTTCTCCAGAGTCGTAATCCAATACTCAAACCACTACACCATGCTGGCTCTCTACTGTCTTGTTTATTCTTACAAAATGCATTTCCAAAGGTGGCCATCTTAACAAATCTTTAACAAAAGATCCTCCTCTGTTTGAAGGCCTCCTCCATCAACAGTGTGATGCAGCAGCTAAAAAGGCCAATGCGATTCAAGGCTGCATCAATAGAAGTATAGTTTCTAGATCAAGGGAAGTCATAGTGCCACTCTATTCTGCTTTGGTCAGGCCTCACCTGGAATAATCCTGTGTCCAGTTCTGGGCACCACAATTCAAAAAGGATGTTGAGAAGCTGGAGCGTGTCCAGAGGAGGGCAACTAAAATGGTGAAGGGTTTGGAAACCATGCCCTATGAGGAATGACTTAGGGAACTGGGTAGGTTTAGCCTGGAGAAGAGAAGGTTAAGAGGGGATATGATAGCCTTCTTTAAATATTTGAAGGGACGTCATATTGAGGAGGGAACAAGCTTGTTTTCTGCTGCTCCACAGAACAGGAGCCGTGGATTGCAATGTTGATGTCCTACTTTCTGTTTTAGTCCACTTGATAATGTTTTGGAAGTCTGTCCATGAAGAAAAAGCCTAGGTTAGGGCTCTGGTGCTTCTGGCAACACAGAACTGTGATTTAGGCATGTGATCTTGACCCAAGACTACCTCTGTAGCTTAGGGAAATGCCACCCCAAGTACAACATAGAAGTGAATAGAGGCAGCGATAGAGAAGATGTCCTCTAGAGAACAAGACCCAGAACAATGGATGCAAGCTCCAGGAAAAGAGATTCTACCTGAACCTTAAGAGGAACCTTCTGATAGTAAGAGCTATCTGGCAGTGGAAGACACTCCCTCTGAGAGTGGTGGAGTCTCCTCCTTTGGAGATCTTTAAACAGAGGCTGGATGGCCATCCATCGGGGGTGCTTTGATGGTGAGTTCCTGCATGGCAGGGGGTTGGACTGGATGGCCCTTGGAGTCTCTTCCAACTCTAGGATTCTATGATTCTATGACACGACATGAGCTGAGCCTGAAAGAGGTTGACGCTACAGACTTCTCAACACAGCTGGGTCCTCTTTGGAGTAGTGAAGGGGGAAGCCCACAAATAGCTCTCCAGCTTACTTGTCATCGTGTTTTATTTTTCCTCCCACTTTGACAAATGGCATGTTTCCTCTGACTTCCCTCTTGGACCTCGCTTGCTCTGTCTTGGCCTCACGTCTCCTCACTCGCCACTTCAGTAGGCTGCTCTCTTCCCATGGCGTGAAGTCCGCATCCCTCTCCGATCTGACCCCCCAACGCTCTGTCACCCTCCCCCCTTTCCTCTTTCAAATGGCCCCTTCCCACATTGCGTGTCGTAGCATATAAAGTCAAAACCAGCTCTCCTCCATGGCTTCCGCCTCCAGTATCCCCAGTATGTCTGTCATGCCCCTTAAATTGCCCCTTGATCAATCCGTGGAAATATTTGACCGTCTCTCATACCGTCCTGAAAATGCATGCCCCTCTTTTTAATTGTGAGGTGAGGACAAGTTGCTTTGGACTGGCATGGCAAGGCCTGGTTTAAAATATGCTGAGCCCATTCAGATCAACATAAACATCATGACAACCATAAATCCTCCCAAGGACAATATTTTTAAATAAACGAAACAACAACACTAATCTGAGTTCTTTGAAGATCTCCAAACCATGTAAACATGATCAAAGGAAATGCATGAGAGAAGAACCAACGGATGGAAACTGCGTGCAATTTTAGCTAAATTTGGCTTTGTTCCCTCTTATGTTTAAACCGGGTTGCGATTCACCTTCGCTCCGTGTCGGTGAATTGGTTCCAAAAGGTCCGTCGTTCCCACGATGACAGCGGATCTTTTCATTATTCCCTTATATTAGCTTCTTTTTCGGCATGACTGTCATTCCCACTAGTTTGTGCTGCTTGGAAATGCATATCAATCATCTGTGCATGATTGGTGACACAAGCGGCAACGCAGTGAGGACAGGGCCATTCCTCTTTCTTGTAAGCCATCATCAGCCTTGGGGAAAGGGAGGAAAATGGGGGTCTGTATCCCCCTTTTTGCAAGACATCAGCCTTGGAGAAAGTTGTGGGGGAGGGAGGAAAATCACTCATAGGTCACACTGCAAAGCAAAGGCAGCGCTGAGAGGGGGCAAAATGGCTGATCTCCCAAAAACTGAGGCAGGATGGTAAACACCCCTCTAGCATTAGTCGTTCCTCTCCAGAATGATGCGATTCAGATCCGTCGTTCCCACTTGTTGAACATGCTTCGGAATTGATTCTTTTCAAAAGAACTGCCAAAGAACTAGGGCCAGGAAACAGCGGGGTTTGTTGCGTTTGTCTCGCTTCATCACGACTGAAACTGAGCTCAATCGGATCGAAATCAGTTTCAAGTGGGAACACCAGTCATATAACCCGATCCGCAATTTGAGCTAAATCATAGTTGGTAAGAACTGCTCCTCAGGAGATGTGTTGTGATCAGACTGCCTCCAAAGGTGGTGGTGGGTTCTCCTTCCCTGGAGACATTTAAGCTGAGGCTCCACAGCCATCTTTCAGGGCTGAGCAAACTTTGCCCCTCCAGGAGCTGAGCTTCAATACCAGTGATGGGAATCTTGTAGCCCTCCAGATGTTGCTGGGCTACAGCTCCCACTAGCCCAAGCCAGCAGCATCACCCATGGCGAAGCATTCAAGGAGTGGCAGTCCTTGAATCTCAGAGGGCTGCATGGTTCCTATCCCTGTACTATACATATCATGGCTGATCATTGGCTATGCTGGCTGGGACAGATGGGAGGCGACGTTCAATAACAGCTCTCTACAGGTTTCACAAAATTATAGAGTTGGAAGAGACCCCAAGGGCCATCCAATCCAGCCCCCTTCTGCCATGCAGCCTCTGTTTCAATACCTCCAAAGAAGGAGACTCCACCACTGTCCAAGGCAATGTAGTCCACTCTCGAACAGCTCTTACTGTCAGGAGGTTCTTCCTAATGTTTGCATGGAAAATCTTTTCCTGTATCCACTGCATCCACTGTTCCGGGTCCTTTTCACTGGAGCAGCAGAAAACAAGCTTGCTCCATCCTCAATATGACATCCCTTCAAGTATTTAAGCAGAGCTATCATATCCCCTCTTCACCGTCTTTTCTCCAGGCTAAACATCCCTAGCTCCCTAAGTCGTTCCTCATAGGGCATGGTTTCTAGACCTTTCACCATTTTGATCACCCTTCTCTGGACACGCTCCAGCTTCTCAACATCCTTCTTGAATTGTTGTGATCCAACACTGAGCAGCAAGCTGGACTACAAAATGACCTCTTTAGCTTCTTTCCAGCTGTATAAAGAGGTGATCATTGGGTGGGACTTCTAAATTGCTTAATGTCATGGAGGACCCAGATGTCAGCATCTCCCCCCATCACATCAATACAGAAGGAAAAGATGGACTAGTAGCACACTATCTTTTGTTTTGGCCATGGTGACTGCAGACCAAAGATGGAACTTTTCCAAGCCAGAATCATGTTAAAGTTAAATTGCAGGGCTACAAACACCATTCATTTTAGAGGGAATGCTTCCAAACGGTACTATTTCTCTGCCTCGGGGAGCAGGTTCTCAGTATCATCAAAGGCCAGCAAATTGTTAGCTATTTGCTTTATTATTACTATATTTGTACCTCCAGGAATGGGGAAAGGTGCTTGTGGGATCTTCTGCTTCAGAAGCCAAAATAACTTGGCTGCCTCTACATATGCACTTAGAGGCTATGGCTTCAAAACGTTTGTTTCCTTAGCTTTCTGAAACGGTTTCCCTTG